CGGCAGAGGAAAGAGTTGGCCTAGGCCGCGCGACGCACGTCCATCCGACGCTCGAGCAGCCGAAGTGGCCGCGCTTGCGCGACGACGATGACGACGATGACGACGACGACGGCGAGGCCCATAAGAAATCAGTGGTGCAGGTGCGCGAAACGGCAACGTCATCGCCGCGACTCGTATTTTCTGCGGGCGTGCGCGCAACTCGATCGCCACGTGAACGAGGCGCGACGTAACGGCGATGGAGGCCGCGCGAAAAATCCGCGGCTCTCCGTGCGGCCGCGTGATCGAGCGTGTAATTAAGAGCGGCGACTCGCGCTGACCGCTCGCAGCTGCGTTTCGACGCTCGATCGGCGTTGCGCCACGGCGGTCTCAGCGCGCCTCCCGAAACTGGAGCGATCATTGTTTTTTATGCGCGCGGGGAACACGAAAACGATCGGATAAATACCTCGATTGCCACCCTTTTACGGACTTGCAAGGCACCGGATTTATTTGAGTACCGCCTATAAATAGCAATCAGTTTCTCGCGGGAGATGGAAGAGGAAGAAAAAGAGCGTAGCTACAGGCCGCTATAATAATAAGCAGCGACGTAAAAATAAAAGTGCAGCGAAGCCATCACCTGCCGTTGGCGTATCCCGTACGAATACTCTCTTTCTCTTTCTCGGGGCGTTTGTTAATATCTCTTCTTGAGCTGGCGCGTGGCTGCCGGATTTTTTTACCTTCGCAGAATGCGGGCGCCACCTGCGTACCTCGTGCGCCTGTATAATCAAGTGGCGAGTCTTTCTCTCTCTCTGTTTTTACAACGACACCGTGCGAGTTCGATCGCAAAAAAAACGAGATGGATTAATGACCCCGCCGCCGAAAAACGCAAGCTTCGTCAGCGGCCAACGACTCCCGTCGCCCGAGATTTCGATTCATCTCAACAACCTGTTATTAAATTTCACATCTATCAATTCTTCGACTTTCGGTAGACGTGTCCGAGATGCACGATTAAGACAGTGGCGATCGTTGCACAGCACCACTGCAAATTACAAGACGCGTAATAATTATAACAGAGGCAAAAAAATTCGACAGTAATAGAGTGGTCGTTAAGCCGCTTATCAGAACTAGAAACTGCAGAGTAGAGGTCAGGACTTGCGAAAGAATGAAATTTGGCGAGTGGCGTAATCGATAAATATTTGATGAGCGCCCAACAAAAAAAATAAATAAGAATAAGCGAGCGAGAAATTTGGCGACACGTGCCGGGCGGCAGTTAATCGATAAAGATACTACTATTAACAGGTACAATGACCGATATATAGAGCCAATTTCTTTTTTCCCCTTTTATCGGAGTCATTAACGAGGACGCGCGTCCATTCAGTGCGCCGAGTTCTGTCGCCGCTGACATAATGCTCGTATAAGCGCGATGTTCCTCTGTCGAAAGTATACCCTCGCGGCAGTAATGGGCGTAGCCAATAACTTGCGACTCCGGCTGCTCCTGCACCCGCCACTCGTTTTTTTTCTCTTTGCTCTCTGGCTGGCTTCGCGCAGGCACGGCCGATTTTTTCCGCGTCTAACGCAGCTCCGGCACACGTTGCCAAGCTATCGTTGAATCGCTGCTGCTTGTGCGCGCGCGCGCGCGCGCGTGTGTGTGTGTGTGTGTGTGACAGGTCGCGCCGGTTCCATAGTTCAGATCGATCGGACAAGAGGTCACTTATCGCAGGACAGTCCGGCAAATCTGTGCTCGATTAAATTTTTGTTATGAATCAAATTCCTACCATCGGCTACTTTTAGCAGTGAGCCGCGCGCGAGAGCTTGTATATTATATTGTCTTATAAATTATGGTGATAGTGCCAGCAGATAATGATTACCGAACGAAAGTTGGTTTATCGTAGAAAAAAATGCTTTATCTTGTACAATCATGCGAGCTGTAAAAACAGGGCTTAAGAATTTCCACAACTGATAAGAGTCGAGCCGCGCAGCCACGTAAGACAATTGAAGTGCAGCAAGGTGTTAACGTTAACAAATATTAGCTTGACGCGAGAGAGTGATAAGACTTCTGAATTCACTCGAAATTAAAAGGTAATTTCACCTGATTCACGACAGGTACGACACGTGTGCAAAGAGCATGCCAGCAGCCTGCTGATATTTAGGCTACCGGTACTCTCTATTCATGCCCATTGTCAATTCTATTTACGCAACCGTTCGTACACCCTCTCCCCCTCCCCCTCTCACTATCGAGATACTATACAGTTTCCGCCTAATCTTCCGCCACACGCACACGCATAAACTACTTGCACACGCTTGCCTAATATGCCCTTATCTCATTTTCTATTACTTATTTCATAACTATTTTCATGATTGCTAAAATTTAGTGACTACCAACACGCAGAACTATTTTCACATTACATTTAATTCAATTGACGCCATACTTTCACAAATTTAATTAATACTCCCCCTTTATCCTTGATTAGACATTTAAAGTAAGATTTTTATTACACTTTTATGCTATACCTGTATATAAATATATCTGATCAATTTCCGCAATAATCATGCATAAATTTTAAATAATCAACTTCCAATAGCGAACTGTTTAGAATATGATTAGCATAAATAATTTTCAAGTTTATCTCAATATATGCGTAACATAAATTGTCAGCAGGAACATACTTTTATTTATTGCTGAATAAATATATACATAAATAAGATTACTGCATAATTTCTTGTGTATGTAAATAAAAGAAAATGTCGCAAAATTCGTGAAATCCAGATTTAAACTAACATTACAGATTACGCTGGATCACTGCTTAATAAATGTTAACAAATTTCTTTTAAAATAATAAGGAAAAAAATTGCAGATTCACAGTTATGAGTAACGACATCTGAAGTAGCAGAGGGCACAACAGCGATTCAGTTCGTTTATGGTAACACACCGTAGCAGCTAGTTCAACACGGACATAAATCTGGTAAGTATTTTTGGTAGGAATTATTCTTATCGACAGATAATACATGGCGGTGCAGAAAATTAAATTGGATCGAAAAGTGTAGTACCATCATTGGTAATCACATATCTATACATTTACCAAGAGATGGTGAATTGAAATTTTCAATATTTTCAAAAGTAGTGTGTACATTTTAAAGTAATAATCGCTAGTTTTTAGTCAAATCATGACGTTTATAAAACTCAGTAGAAGAGCAAACCTCCATTTTGTTGATAAAATATTTAGAAGAAACTTTGAGGTTGAAAACGATGGTACAAGGACGTTATACTCTTCGAGTCAGCATGCTTCTACTACAATACATCGTTCGTTCACGCGTGAACTGCTGAATCTTTATCGGCAATAGCGCGCGCGAAGCGAATGTGAATAGTCTCCGTAAGTTTTACGAAGATCGCTCGTTTCATGGTTCGTTCGCTGCTTAAACAGCATCAATTTTTCGATCGAGTGCTACATGAAGCGTCGCGTATCGGTGCTCACCGTATTGACGCTAACGATTTTCATTCGTAACACGTACGACTGATCTAGTATTCATAGTCGGCTAGTCTATTTGTCGGTTGACAAGTTTGATTTTTCCAGCGTTTCTATATTTCCAATATCGATGCGATTATCAACTAGTTTTTGAGCTCAGATGATTTGCCGTAATTTCTATAATTAATTTAAACCTTAACGGGAAAGTTACCATTGCTTGGTTGGTTAAGTTGTTCCACTAATTACGACATCACACACGTACATACACACACATACACCACGTCAAAGCTCTTTTTCTTTTGAGTTGAAAAGAATCCACGAGACATCCGAGCGCGGCGTCATCATTATCTCAACGTAGCTGCCGCTCAATTGCTACATAGAATAAAGGAGTGTGCAGAGATGGGTCTCTTTTATGCGTGAACAAGACTCAGTACGGATACGTCTACAACGGTTTTCCGATAAGACAGTCAAGGGGGGGGGGGGCACTACAAGTGCGTCTGCAGGCCTTGAAAAACTAATTCCATTGGATGCTTACTCGCTTTTCAGATACATAGAGTACTATTGATTTCTTATCAATTTGCTGCCGGTTGTTTCTGGGCAAATATTTGAAAGCTTTCTCAAGTTTATTTCATTTCAAATACCACTGCCGAATGTTTGTTCATCAATTTTCTCGATGATTTTTGCTCTCTTTGCATTGAGATAACGTTTCAGAACATAATAAGTGCAGCTGGTCAAGGTTAGTTAGTTTATCGAAAGCAAGATTCGATTAGATTAATTAGAATTTAAAAGTATACCTATGTAATGTCTCGAAAAGAATGCTCGCAAAGATGCAGGAATTGATCAGAAAATTGTAACATTTAACCGAGGAGCGAATTACTGACGCAATAAAACATTCGAGTAACCATCGTTCAGCAATAATGTATGACTCTGTCGCGCAAGGAAAAGAATTTTCATGACTATTTGATAATACCTCGAATAAATTCTTCTGATAGCAGTAGTGGATACAAATTTTATTTGCAGACTATTTAGAAAGAGAAAATTACCAGTTAATGAATTCTTCAATATTGTTGATAATTTACTAGCGGTAGAGCCTTTAAAAAAACGTATAGTGTAGCTCCATTTGTCATTAATGAAATGTCACGCCCTCGTGATTTGCTAATCAAGTTTACGAAGGGATAAAAGCTGACTGTCGGCGGTGAAATGAAAACATGTTCGGAAGTATGGTCAGTTAAGATAAAACAATCGGTAGGCATTCGAGCGTATCTTAACGTCCTTTGATTTTGAAGAGGATTTTTGAAGGAAGGTGGCCGTTTCGGCGAAAAGCCACGCTGAGAAAGCACGTCTCTTCGACGCGAAGCGGAGAAAGAAAGAAAAGTCCTTTTGGAGGGAAAATCTCCGCGGCAGGTGCGTCGTAAAAGGTGCTCCCTTTTTCGCTAGTCAGTCGCGCATCTTTCCGGCGTGTACTCCGTATAATTTATTGGAAGAGCGAGAGGCAAAAAAGTAGGGGGGAATCAGCTGACTGCGGGGCAGGGGTCGGCTGCCGCTTGGTTGCACGCCGCCGCCGCCGCCGGCCAGTCGAGTCAGTACGAGCATACCGCCCATTGCGTCAGCGCGCGCGCTGCCGTTCGCTCGGCCCGCAAGCCAACAGCTTTCCGCAGCAGTGCAGCTCACCAGCGACGGATCGACGGCGAGACGGTGGGGCCTCTCGTTTCTGTTTGGCCGCCCGCGCCGCTCTCCGCACGCAGCACTCGGCGGACTGACGCCCCTTGCTTTTCGTCGCCGTTGCCGACGACCGTGAGTTTCCTCTCCCTATTGTTGCTCAAAGCCATAGCCAGAGGCATTGTTGCAAAGTGTAACGCTGCCCGAAGGCCTTATGGACGAAACGGCCTCCATGATTTTCAATTGGCGCGCGCTCGGGCAGGAAGTCTGTGGTTGGACGGCTGCGCGTTTAGAATCGCGCGCAGGAGAACCTGTTTACGCACACGCTGTCAATTTAAGTAGCCAGCGATGCGCCAGCGGCACGCCGATAAGCGCGCGGCACGATGCTATCGCGCTCGCCGAGTCTTCGCTGATAACGGCTCAACTTCTGCGCCGATGCCTCTGTGGTCAGAGTTGGCTTTTGCTAATCGACCGCTTATCGAAGGTTTTTTTCTCGCACGCGCGCGTCGTGCACTGCGTCTTGCTAAAGTTGCGATGGTCAGCCGACGAGCGAAATGACGTAACCGCGAGCACACTCCGACGCGCGGACTTTGTTGCCTTCCGCCGCGAACCAAACAAGCGCGTTGCTTTGCGTTACGCGCCGCGCGACTAATTTCGACGGTCGACCCTCGCGTAGAAACTGGAATGTAGCGAGATTTCACCTTGCCCGACTCATCGGCCGACTCCAGCTCCCGTGCACATGACTATTAATCGTCAATGTATCGCGTGACGAGCGCATTAATGCCTGCGCGCCGATTTATTGTCAGCCCTGGCAGCAGCAGCTTCGCGCGATAACGCTATCATTGCTCTCCTGCGAACGCACAAACGCGCGTTTCCGCGTGTCTGCGTGTTTTCCTTCCTCTGCTCTCTTTCTCGTTCCGTCGTAAATCTGCGTCTAATTTGCCGATTCGGCGTTGCCTTAAGCGCGTGTTAACTAGGCTGATTACTTGGGATTTTTTTTCAGCTTCGTGAGCTCAACGAGCTTGGCATATACGCGTATATGCCGTTGGCTTCGCATTATTATACATATATATATATATATATATATATATATATATATATACGTATATATAGTCAGCGCTCGGACGGTTGGCGGAGCTTTCAAGGATCATCGATCCGGGATAAACTCTATCGCTTCGTTATCGCTCGATTACAAAATCTGGGCTGAGCTGAATCATCGATGTTGACCGCAGACGCGAGCACACGAGTGATGCTTTTCGTGCGATTTTTTTAGCAATAACTTTCATCCGATGTTTGATGTGCACCGCACATTGCCTATTTATGGAATTCTTGCTTTTCCTCCGAGCTAGCGAATTTTCGATAGGCGTCTGAATCACACACCTTGTTTCCCGCGCTTTGACGTACTTGTAAGAATTTTTAGAGACTGAGTAACTTTTGTCACAGATAAGAGGCCACGTGAATTTGCGATACGAATGCTGTACATATACTTACGATTCGTCCGACCGGTTATACGTATTTAATTAAGCTTAGTTATCCAAGATTTGGAAAAAAGTGCTGCTTTATTAATATTTCACTGCGCGCGTTGGCAAATTGATTCTCTTAAAATCCCATTAATTTATATTGCTGTTGCGCACTTGATCAAGCAACCGGCTAATTATACGGAAAAGTTAATCTTACGAAATGCACACTATAAATCAATAGTAACCTGTTGCTCAAGCCAATCGCAGTAAAAAGCGAACAAATAAGTAACGCAGCGGAAATATATAAAGATCACGATCGAGAAAAGCCGTTGACTGGCAGTCTCGGGCAGAGGCAAGGAGTTGTCAATTATCATAAATCGAGCCGGCTCCTGGCACGGGATAGTGCGCTAACAGTTAAAAATTAAATAGGTGATATGCGCGAGCGCGTGGAAAACGCAACATCGTTCAAGGCCACTGCTCGTAGTGTCCATGCGTTACGCGCAATTTCCGAGTTGTGCTCGCGCGGCGCAAGAGTTCCATTTCGCGTTAGCCAACGATGAGCGCGCCAGCGGCGTGCGGTCCACTTGCCGCCTTTCAATTTCGTGCACATATTCTATCGCGATTGAAAGCTCAGTAGGTGCGTTCGCAATTTCGGGACCGAGGGAGAGAGATAGAGAGAAACCGTTGAGCGAGATTCACTGCTCACTATTTCGAGCAGTTTAATTGGAGAAATTTTCCGAGCTGCCTCTAATGGAAACAAATTTAATTGCATTTGTTTCCATTGCTCCTCGTTTCGCATGCACTTTTAACGCTTGCCGCGAGAACGAATGCTTGCGCGCGCTGCTCACTGCAGCGTTTACTCGTGAAAACTGTTTAGACATGCAAATTGCTGAAAAAAAAGAAACCGATCTCACTTTGGGTTTTCGCCGAGATCGACCAAATGACATTTCGCTGGCAAAGCTGTGAGGAAGCATTGAATATGCAGTGATCGAGGTGTGATTGTCTTGAAACAGTTTCACACTCCTTGCTCAATTGAAAATTCGCAAATTAATTAAACTTCTGTCGAATTGCGTAGGCCGAGTTAACTTTCATAATTTGACCCAGCTCATTTTTTTCCCGATTAACTAATTTTACTCGGCGGTCGACACGAGTCGTGCGGTTATTTAATTATGGGTGGCTCAGACTTTCCGTAAGCAGAGCCTATCGGTTTATTGGTAAGTGGGTCATGTAGACTCGAGTCTACCGTATTAGCCGAGAATTCGTTTACTAATGAATCTGGCGCATAATTCATTCCCGCTAATCAATCGCGCCCAGCTTCATCGATGACAGAGCTTGCATGCTCGTTGCCAAGGGATCTCGTCCGAAGCGAACTTTGCACGGGTAAAGAATTATTTTCCGCGCGAGCAGGCCAAAGCAAGTATCGATACAGGCGACGACGGGTAGGTCGTCAATGTCGTCTCGTATAGCCTTGCAGTCCTCGCGGTTTCGCGACGAACGAAGCGCAGAAAGCCGAGACGCCAAGGTAGAACAAAAAAGTGGAAAGCGAGACGCGCGCCGGATCGCTCGCGGCCAAAGGGAACGACAGCGAGGGCAAAAATTGCAGGTGGCGGGCGGATATATGCACGTGAGAACGCGCCGCAATGTCACGCGCGCTGCAGCTCGTGGATGCGTCGGCCGGGCGGAGAGATCGCCAGGTCGTCACGCTCGGTGGCTCGCGCGCCCCCTTCCGCGCGTACGAAACGCGCGAAATCGCGAATTCCTCGAGCATCGCGCCGCGGCAGTCCTCGTCTCCGCTCGCCCGTGACGTTTGGGTGAACAACCTCGTGCCTCGCGCAGCAGCACGACAAATCGGCTACGAGACCAAGTGGACGCTCGTCAATGCGGGCCATTCCGCTAGCCTTCCTTCTTTTTTCATGTCATTTTTCATCGGCCGCGCGCGGTCGCGGCGGATAACCGATTTCCTGCGCGCTGCAGCTTACGGCCGCAAGCGGATATTAATAAATCTCAGGCGCGCTTCCTCTCGCCGATCGTCGGCTGCTGTCGTCTTCTTTCGTCTCCGTCGCGTCGCGGCTAGACCGCCTCGCTCGCCCGGTCTCGATTCCCGTCGTGCGCTGACTGTACTTCGTGAAAAGGACGCGACGAGCGAGAGCCTCGTGCGTTATCTGCGCGGCTGTGGACGCGGATGAGCGATGGCTGCCGAGATTACCGAGTGGCAGATTGACGACGAGCTGTCGTCATTGATGTCGGCGATCTCCGCGCTGGCGCTATACGTGTGTTTCCTATGCGACTATCCGTTGGCCGCGTGTTTTAGATTATGACGGCATGTCAGTCCCCCCCCCCCCCCCCCCACTGCTCCTGCAACAGCGGTACTCTACTGCTATTTCTCTAACATGCGTACAATCATCTCCGTCATTAGTAGATAGCAGCAACTCTCCGCTGACCACGCTTTTCGCGTGGTCTCTGCAACTTCTTTTCCTACGCACGACAGGAAGATTATCGTTTCTCTCACAGCGAACTTTCTAGCTAGAGCGTAAGTGACCTTCTGGACTCGAATCGATGATTATAGGTACTTCGTTGGCAAGCCGCGCTGCATGTGTAAAGCAACGTTCCGACGATCCGCCGTTACTCCTCCTCTCGTCGGGCACATAATTCAACCTCGTATAAGTGAATTTGAATGGAAAGCAGCCCCTCCCCCTCCGCCGTGCCTCTTCGCGTATGAAAGACGAATTTGGAGGGTATCCCGCCGAATCGGGCCAAGTGAGAGCAGCGGGCGCGCAGTTTCGGCTGGCAGCTACGCGTAGGAGCGCGCGCGCGTACGCATAAGCAGCGCAGCGCGAGCAGTCCTCGAAACCGGATGACGAGGCGAGGATGGCCCGTGTGCGCGTCCCCCCCTTTTTTCCCCTTACGCGCTATAGGTATACCGACACGCGCGCGGCCTGCCAGCGCACTCGAATCGAACCGGACACCCTCGTATCGGTATCCTCGTCGTCGCGATCTTTAGGAGTGCGCGTGGCGCGCGCGGCGCCCTCCCCGTCCTTTTCTTTCGCGTGCCTCTGGCGTTTGGGCACGTCGCGCGCTCGCTGCGATTCGCAGCCAGTGCCAATGGTCGACGGCACGACGAACGAGCGGATTTGCGCTCGAAGCGACGATAATGATTGACGGTTGCGCGCGATCAATCCGCGATCGCTCCGTCGCCGAGTATCGGAAAACGACTACCCTTTTACCTATGATGCCGGCAGAAAATAAATGCTCTTGATACAAAGGCTAACCTTGCTGAATAAAAATAAATTGGCATTAAAACGGTGCGTCACATCCGCCGGTTAGTACATTTACATTATATCGCTTCGATCTATTTGGCACTTCTCGCGTATGCTCGACGCGCTAAAAGGTACTTGTACGGCTTTTCGCCATTACTCATCTTGAGCAAGCGTGTAAAGGCAGCGCAGCAGTCGGTTTTACTTGGCCTTTCGCAATGCTATACGGCACTGTGCCCGACGATAATGCAGCTTTGCAAAACAACGATGAGTCGCGGAGCTCCTTTCAGCGATGGGCGCTTGCCCGCGCTAACCGCGGCGTTGCACCAGAGCTTCGCGTATGCGCGCCGCGCGCGACGTCGAGCAATCGCAGCGTTCGCTTGTGTCCGCCCACCGACGCGTTGTATCCCTGTAAGATCTATCGGCGTTCGGGCCCGCTGCAGCTCCCGCGATTGATTTGACCCGAGCGTTAACGCGGTCGGGGGACAGGGCTGCTCGATGAAAACATCACGCGCGCTTTGGCCATATTTAGCGTCGGAGACGAAACCGCGCGCGCGGCGATGCCTACACGCGCGCTCGAGCCGCTCTTCGCGACGTTACGCGCGCCGCTTTCGCGCGTTGTCGCGGAGGCAAACGGATCTTCTTCGCCCGCGCTTAGGCTTTCGCAACGCCTTGCCGCTGCCTCTCGCGCTAAACGTTACTCGCTTGTGCGCGCGTTGTGCATCAGGCGGCTTGGAATCCCAGTTCCACAGGTCGACGTTGCGCGCCTACTTTTGTAAGCGTCGACGAGGATCGATACGCAATGAACATAAATAAACGATGACGCCAAGCTCAGCGCGGAGAAAAAGGTGAAAAATGAGCGACGACGGACTTTTAGCGGCCGAGAAAAGGCGACGAGGAACGGACGGCGAGGCGTGCAATTGGGCCAATTCAGAGCGCATCGGATGGCCGTCCCAGAAGGTGCAGTATCGCAAGCGAAGACGCCTCGTCACACCGTCGCGCTCACGCACCGAGCAGTCCTTTGTACGTGACTGCGCGCGCGCGCGCGCACTTCTCGCTCGGTCTCACTTACGAGCCTCGACGCGCGATCGAGCTGGCTGATCGATCGTCAACGCGCTGCGTCGCGGGTCGCTTGTTCCGCGGCCGATAACGGTCGCGCGATCGTCGTGAGGGGCGGGCTCTTCGAAGCAGCTGCTTGCCGTCCGCCACTTGGCGTCGCCGATCGCACGCGGCAATAGTGCAGTCCGCCGCCACTTTGCGCACGTGTGCACGTGTGACGTCAAAGGCGAATTTCACGCTACGACGCGCTCCGTCGCGCGACGCCCGCCGCTCGCTCCCCTTTTGTTTTCCGTCGGGCAGACGAGAGCGCCGCGACGCACGCGTGCGTCGTTGTTTTCAGAGACGCGACGTTTGACGCTTCTCTTTGGGCGTCGCGCGCGCCAAGTGGCGCGCATAATGCGCGCGCTCGGCTCAGCTGGGATTTCGTCCGCGGCGCGCCAGCGAAAGCGACACCGTGCATTTTTACGGTCGCTTATCCCATCAAGCGCCTAATAACGGTGTTCAGGCGGAGCGCGCGACCATGCGCCTTCTTCGTCCGCTAGCTGCTCAGTCGCGCGTGACGCATTTTTTTTTATTCGCTCTCCTCGCTCGACTCCACTTTCGGGCCCGCGCAGACTTACAAGTGGAACGTTAATACCGTGGCTGAGTATTGCAGCGAGAAAGCTCCCCGAGCGCCAGGTTGATAGAAATACTCTTCGCGGCGGGATTGCGGAGTAAGCGTCGATGTAAATGAAGCAAGCCGACGCGCACGCGCACGTACACGAATGAATTACAGTTTAGGCGGGCTCCAAAGAGAGAGAGAGAGAGAGAGAGAGAGAGAGAGAGAGAGAGAGAGAGAGAGAGACAGGAAAAAAGCGGAGTAAGTTAGTCCCTAGGTCACCCTCGTGCACTGCTGGTTTAATGATTCGCAAGCGCGAACACTCGTTTGTCGTTGGGATTTTCGTACCTTGTAGGGCGAGTGCAGCTGCTGCTCGAGCAGCGCCGATGAATAAATAAATGCCGCGAGGAGGAAGACGCACACGGCGAGTAATGCTGTTGCTCTTGTTGTTGCGCGGTGAGGGGGGCAAAAGAGAAAAAGAGAGAGAAAGTAACGTCGATTGGATAATCGTCGAAAACTGTGGGCGAGAATATAATGGACGCTTATTAAAGTCTTTATAACCGTCAATTCAAGCAAATCAATTGACTTACGCGCAGAGAAGTGCCTCCCCTTTTCTGTTATGTTTTAGTTAATGCATGCGTAAGCTTAGAAGATTAACGAGGACCATAAGCGGCGATAATTGCCACTCGCGCAAGCAGAAAAGAAACGCCCGAGCGATAAGGCCGTACGTAGGCGTATTTTGGCAGCATCCGCCCACAACTCTGACGTGTCTTTTTCTCTCTGCATCGATCAGCCAAATATCTGAAAGTTCATTTTTGTCAAGATTCCTCGGACGAACGCCGTCGTCGGTGCTTTGGCGAACGAACGCCTGCCGTATAAAAATGAGCGCTGCCGTCGAGGTCCATTGCGATGAGTCATTAACGAGGCGCTCGAGGTACAGTTGTCCGGTGCGAGTTGCTGATGCGCAAAAACTCTGCTCATCTTCTTTATGGCTCGGCTAAAAATAACAACTATTACAGCAAAATAAAAAAAAAGAAAGGATATTTCACAATAAATAAAATTAGCATAGCCGAACTGTACCTGTTCCTGATATATTCAACGTGGCCGTGCACTTATCGTTTGCACCATAAATTCCAAAGGTTCGACTAAAATCGTCCGCACGCATAAATCTCAGCTCGCGGGGCGAAGGGGTCGACGCACTCGCGGCTGGGAATGTCCACCGCGAAACACCGTCGTCGTCGTCGTCGTCGTCGTTATTTGGAAATCCGCCGGCGCTATTTTCTTTTTGTCTCTTACTTTGTTCGTCGCGACACCACTGCTGCTGCTGCTGCCTCTGAAATAACTCGCGGGAATTCGGAGATTCGCAATGCTTCTCGCGTGCTCGTGATCCGACACGCGACGCGTAACCACGCGACCAGCCGCTAATTGGCCAATGCGACTCGCTATTCTTGAGGTCGCACGCGGCCGCGATGAAAATAGTCGGCATACCAGAGACTCGCCGCGTTGGCTGTTGCATTGACCGCGCGCTCGATTTCAGAGGGGGGCTGCAGTTTGTCGTTTCCGGAAACAGCAGTAGAAAGTTCGAGCCAATCATTGCGCTGCTCGCGTTACCGGACTCGTCGCGAATGGGAGCAGCCGGGCGTAGATGGCGAATTCGAAAAGTGGCGCGCGGGAGTGCGGCGCTGCGAGCGTCATCTTCGCGGGGGGTAGCGACAGCTTGGCAGCATTGATTTTCAGCGCGCGGCGCTGGGTTTGGGGGGGGGGGGGGGTGGTAGGGTGCTGGCGTGCACGCGCCAAGCGCGCTTTGACCAAATAAGGAGATCGCATGTGCGCGCGATTCAGTGCGATAGCGAGCGTCTCGCCAGACCAACGCAGCCGCCGCCGTCGCAGCAGCAGCAGCAGCAGCAGCAGCAGCAGCAGCAGCAGCAGCAGCAGCAGCCCCGTGAGAGCATCTCTGCCTCTTGCTCGCACGCTCGCCCTCCCCCAGTGTTACGTGGCCGCGGGCGCAGTGCCATCGATGGCCTGCGACACTCGCGCAAGCTCCTCCAGCGCCAGCAGGTGAGTGTCGTAAGTGCGCGCTCCGCGGAGACGCTGACCTTGGCTCGGCACTCGTCAGTCGACGCCGCCTCCGAGCACCAGCTAAGCAGGCCTCGGGCTTTTGGCGCGGCGCGCACGGCAGTGAATGAACGTGTCCACGAGGTCGCTGACATCGCCAGGCCTTCTTCGCTCCCGCGGCCGCTACTCTGTTTACTAAACTCGGCTGCGCTTGCACACCCCCCTGCCTGTGCTCGTCTAGCTGCTCAGCACAGAGCAAACGTCGCTAATAGCCTCGGCACTCGCAGACCTATAGCTACACCGTCTGCTCCCTCTCTTGCTTACTTCGGTGTTACTGCCACTCGACAGCCTCCCGATTGGAATCGAATTTTCTGCATCCCCATCCGTGCTTTCTCTCTTCTCTCTCTCTCTCTCTCTCTCTCTCTCTCTCTCTCTCTCTCTCTCTCTCTCTCTCTCTCTCTCTCTCTCTTCCTCTGTATATTGCTTTTTTTTCCATTCGTGTCGAGAGGGTTGTCGACTGGCTCGGTAAGCTTTGCCATATTTGCCGCCGCCGAACTGGAAAGGTGCTTCCCCCCTCTACGAAAAGCTCGCCGGTGCTTTATTTTCGGAACATCAGCGCATTTCATCTCGATCGCCACGCAAGTAGCATTACGTCCCATATCGACTGCTGAACCGTCGGTGCACTACGTGCTCATGAGAGCCGTATAGCTGCACCGCCAGTACCTCCGACGTAAATTACAGCAGCGCATTGTCACGTCATTCGTCTCCAGTGCCGATACACCGACAGCCCCCGGCATTGTTCGATTTTCATAGAGAGTAGCCGAAGCCTGCTCTTACGTTTCCCTCTCCTTTTATTCTTCCTTTTTTTTAAAAAACAAGCTCTTTTGAGGCGACAGCTGCGAGGGCTTTCCACTCGTTCGCGCTGAAAGGCACTTCGCAGATCAGAAATTAATTTGGAGCGCGCGCGTGCACGGTCTCCTTTCAGGGCGGCGGAGTCGCGCGTTTCTCGCGCGAGCATCCGCGAGGGGATCGCCCGGCGCACCTCTTCACTCCATTCTTCGCCGCAGCGTCTCATTCTTGCGACGTCGTCACTGTCGTTGCTTCGGGGAACCCATTCATTTGTCGCCTCCGTCGCGTACACTGCGCGCGTTGCGACGCGTCTACTCGTGCAAACGCACGTACAAGCAGAGTGCTCCCCTCAGTCCCGCAGACGCACGCGATGCGTGAATGTAGACTGCAGCCAGCTCGACTGCTTGCACCACTCACCTGCTCGCTTCAATTGGAGCGCAGTCGCGCGGCACTTCTGCCGCTCGCGGCTTCGAACCGCTGTCCTCTTCCGTACGACGGAACTGTTTAAACGGGACTGTTCTGTCTGAAATGTCGCCGAGCGCGCGCGAGGCATCGTCCGCAGCCGAACGGGGGGCTCCAGCTCTTATTACGCGTCGAGAGAAACGTTCAGTCGGCGCGAGCTTACGGAAAGCTCGCGCTGCTGAAACGTACGGAGCCGCGTCGACAGATTGCGAAAGTGGAAACTGATGAATTCGCGCATCGCGAACGAGCCTATTTCTGAAATAGCAAGCTCATTAGTTGATAGAATACGCGCCAAGCGCGTGCATACATTCCGCGAGCGCGCATATTTGTTCTGCGTTTGGATCGCGCGCGAAATAATCAGGAGCGGCACGGCATGTAGCTCGATGTAGCTGCACGCGTGCGGCAGTTGATCGTCGACGTCCAGCAATCAGTCGACGGATTCCACGTCGCGAGTGGATTACTCAGTGCCCGTGTGTAGCTCGACTCGCGAGCTCGCGCAGCTGCTCCAGGGCCTTAGCGTATTGAGTTCCGTTCAATTTGCCACGAAAATTGCCTAGCCATTTTCCATCGGGCGCCGCGATGATTGGATTTTCCTCCTCCCGCGTCTCCGTATGCACCGCTCGCGCATAAAACAATAACGCCTGGTCGATTGACTAGCGACTTTTATTACTAGCAGCCTCGTCCTTTCGTGCATTTCAGATGGTCAATGAGTTTTGACGGGCTTCGAGAACAGGGCCAAAGTCTGTGATTCGCTATGGGCAAACTTCTGAGCCTTCTGGCTCGTGACGAGTCGACTTGCTGCACTCCACAAAAGTACGACGTCTTCCTAGATTTTGAGAGTAAGTTGAACGGTCCACTACTTCACTGATTATATTTTGCCATTATCTCGAGCAAGACTATCGGCCAAACTAATCTTGAAGCGCATTATAAAAACATGGGCAACTTAACGAGTATCGACGTACTTAGCTCCTTGCGGAGTACCTCGAAAACATTATCGTTATTCAATAAATCCAAAAATAAACAGCGAAAGCCTGAGCCTGCTTTGGCACGCGTCGTAAATGCCAGCGCGAGTAGAATCCGCTGTAGAGAGCTCGATATTTTGCCGATAATGCGCAGCGCCGCCCAGACAATCGAAACTAACTGGACGGCCGCGCCGAAATGGCAAAAATGCCACTTGTAAGGACTGTTTCTGCATCGACAGATGCTCAGCCGTCAGAGATCGAGCGACAGACGTTCGAGGCGGTGCAGAGGGTCCTGAAGAACTCCGAGTCGATATTACAAGAGATCCAATGCTACAAAGGCGCCGGCAAAGAGATCCGCGAGGCCATCAGCGCGCCGACCGAGGAGTATCAGCGGAAAGCTTACCTCACGGTCGCTCCGCTCGTCGCCAAGCTCAAGCGCTTCTACGAGTTTTCCCTGGAGCTGGGTAAGCGCGCGCCGCTCTGCCTCGCAACGATCGCCTCGCCGAGTCGCTCTTCCACGCCATTCGCACGCTTTGCCTTTCCAGAACGAGTGGTGCCGAAGATTCTGGGCCAGCTGTGCTCCGGCAACTTGTCACCGACGCAACACCTGGAGACTCAGCAGGCGCTCGTCAAGCAGCTGGCCGAGATACTCGAGTTCGTGCTCAAGTTCGACGAGTTCAAGATGAAGACGCCCGCCATCCAGAACGACTTTAGCTACTACAGGCGCACCCTCACGCGCGCCTCCCTCGCGCGACAGGACAACGCCAGCGAGAGGGACCTGGTCGTCGGCAACGAGCTCGCCAACCGCATGTCGCTCTTCTATGCCCACGCGACACCCATGCTGCGCGTGCTCAGCAACGCCACCATCGCCTTCCTCATGGACGTGAGTTGGACGCGCTCTTTTCCCTCCGCCGCGCGAGTCGCCTCGACGGCCTCGCTTGTTTTAAGCGCGTCGCGGTCGAGGCGCTCTGACAACTGGCCAACTTGCTAAGGCGCGCTTCGCCTCTCGCTTTCGTTACAGAACGAAGACATACCGAGGGAAAACATCACGGAGACGCTGGGCACGATGGCGAAAGTCTGCCTTAGGATGCTGGAGAACCCGTAAGTCGCTGCTTTTTACATCCGCGGATGGACTCGCGCGACGAGACACACTAACGCGTCAAACTTGTTGGCAGAAATTTACTGGCGCAATTCCAACGGGAGGAGACACAGCTGTTCGTGCTGAGGGTGATGGTCGGCCTAGTCATACTGTACGACCACGTGCATCCGCAGGGCGCCTTTGTCAAGGGATCCAACGTCGACGTGAGTTTGCCGTCGCACCGGCCGTCATGCGCGCGATGTCCCAATCGTGTGTACCTTTGAAACCGAGACAATTATTTCGCGTAACAGGTCAAGGGCTGCGTGAAGCTGCTGAAAGACCAGCCGCCGTGCAAGAGCGAGGGACTGCTGAACGCGCTGCGCTACACCACCAAGCACCTCAACGAGGAGAACACCCCAAAGAACATCAAGAACCTGCTGGCCGCTTGATTGCCGAAGCCTCGTGGTTGCTGTATTCGAAGCTGAACAAATGCGCGCGGAACTACGAGGAACTACTTCGACACCTGATGACCTGTTGGCGTCGCTTTCCCAACACGATGTCCGTGCACGCGTGGCTCGTTCGCGCGCACACGGACAACCTTCGTTCGCGTTCGCGAGCGTCCATTTATTTTCGGGCGGTCGTCAGTCTATGTATCTCTTTCTTATTTATTAAAACCATCGAACGACCACCTACCTTATACAATTCCACGTGTCGAAATTACAATTGTGGAGCGTGACAATTTTTCCTCGTTTCGAGCTCAGGCACTTTCATCAAGTTTCACTTGCATCTTGTTGCATCGCTATGCAATCGCTCGGTTTTTCATTTTCCAATAAGCAACACTTTTATAACACGATAGCTATCTAGCTTTCTGTCGACGTAGAATTTTACGATGAGTGCACATTGGCAACGAGTAAAATTTGTAAATTCAACGAACTCGCCGATGAACGTACAAGACTTTCTGGGGCAATCGGATCACGGCTACGCATTTTTAAGCGAGTGTATTATTAATTTATATAACGTCGAAACCCTTATTATATATAGTGATAGAATATTTAGGCAATTATTACCGTGATTATTATAAGCATAATACAATCATTATTCTGATTATTGATATTGCAATAGTATAAAAGTCCTAATTTCATTAAAATTGTACTTCGCGAAGCCCAACACCCTTACTCGAGAATAACTGCAACGTTCGTTCATTTGAAAGTTTTGCGAAGACGACAGTATTTTCTAATAAAATCGATTTTCTAAATATCTATTATCTATTTGAAAGCATCAATGACTTTTACAAACATTTCTGAAAGCGTGTACCCAGTTTTGATAATAACTTTTCTTATTCGCCAGTACTCACTTTGATTTTAATGGTATTTGATGAGTCTTCCCATTGAACGTTAAACTGAATCGCACTTGATTCAAGTAATATTAATTCAGAAAAGTTAAAAAAATAAGTGTTATAGATATAAGCATATGTAAAGTATTTAATCTTCTCGGCACAGATATTTTTAGGAATATCGTTTAGAATTTAATTTTTTATTCAAGGAATGTGATTTTGAACAATTTTTTTGAGTTTGACAAAATACGTTTTGTTAGTTATAACCAATATTATTGATTAATATTAATAACATCGTGCGAAATCATGAATTATTATGTCGATCAGGAGTCATTGAAACAATTCATAGTTATCACCCGAATTCATCTGCATAGCGCAGTCTCAAAGCTATCGTTTGTACTGTTAGTCAACTGCATAAATAATAATATTTGTAAGAACCATATTTTGTATTGATCGGACATAAGTTCTACAAGGTAATGCAGTGTATCTTTTGTTTGATATAAAACCAGCGCCTTGATAACGAACTATACCTTTCATTAAAAAAATCATTGAGATTCGACAGTGTCTCAAACAAACTAGTTTCGAACGAGCAATTATATCCTAATATGTTAAACTGCCGAGAACAAAAGAGATCAATTTCGCGTTGTGGCGAATATGTCTTTTAAAAGTATTGCTGAGAACCAAAGACAAAAAAAAAGTTTATTGAAATACTCTTGTACATTTTGTAGAATCATGGAAAATATGGAAATCGAACCGACATATAATGTAATCTAAGTAAATGATAATGTATATGCGTATCATTGCTGATACCATATTACAGAGATAATTATTCATGACAAAAAAATTGAACTATCTTTTACACTGAGATGGAGCGTGGGAGTTGAAGATTGTGATAAGGACAGAGTAAGATAAGAGTGTAAAATAATGGAAAAATTATTTTCTGTGATCGTACCATTATATTACAATGTGAGACAAACGATATTAAAAGTGTTCAGCTTGAAAAAATAATTATTGAAATGACATTTGGATATTCTACAGTCTCAATATTTGTTTTCTTGCCTAACGTGACATTTGAAAACTCACCAACAGTTGACCAGACATGAAATATATATAAAATGATGTTTATTATTTATTGAATCACTGGAACTCATAATTATGAAAGTAAAAAATAGTATAATTTACAATAATAATTATACATTGTAACTTTTAAAAAGTATTAACTCAAACTTCTAGCCGAAGTTATTATATAAATATATAACATTTTACAACATAAATCTTAAAGCAATGAAAGTTTATTAAGAAATACTTTTCTGTGTGGAGAGTCAAATATTTATATTGCCAGGGTCATCTTTTGTACGCACGCACAAATCTTCAAATTTGCCTATTTACATTCAAGAGTGTAAAGCGAATTTTCCTACAAACATTTAAAACTCTCGATGTATTTGTCGCTCTTTTGAAGATAAGAGACTTGTCATACTCAGTAACACAGACAATTTTCGAGTCCACGATTATGTAAATGAAGAATAATATGTATTAGAAAAAAGTCTGACATGTAAAGCTTTGAAATATAAAATATAAACTATTGATAAATACTGAATACGTGTTTTTCTATTGTTCATCCATCTGCTCTTGAAATGCAAGGTCCAGATTGGACTCATAAAGGGTATCAATTTAAATTTTGCAAAGGCAACACTTACCTTGGTTTGGTAATGAAGGAGGCACATTGTGTACAACATATTACCGGTACGACTAAGCTGATGTATCGAGCTGACGTGTCGTCTGCATTTCGCAGATGTCGCATTTTTAGTTTTTAAAATGTCAAAATAATCGATACTCCGTTTGTTTATTGTTTAAAGATTCAATAAGATATCTGCGAGAATGAATCCAGGGGACCAAGAGTTTATATCCTTTGATGATTATTCAACTACAGAGAGTCCTGCACAAGTCCATGTAGATCTTGGAAATCCAAACCAGCAACTTTTTAGCCATCTTCAGGGAGACCCAATGTCCCAAGATCAAGGCTTTTCACAACAAAATGATGGTGAACTCAATATTTGATAACCGTAATGCACGTAATATATTTTATTTCGTTGTATAAAGATGGTTTTAGGCCAATATTTTGCTCTGATGACTTTGTACCAACACATGTTAAATATAGGTTACATTTTTTAGAATGTTGACAGTAGAACGACAAGCTTTTGGTATACTTATTATTTATTCTACTTTTATTTCCAGATAAACAAAGAAGTTTTTGGAGCATTGAATACTATCAGAAGTTTTTCAATGTTAATACAAATGACGTAGTAGAGAGGTTAAAGCGATCAGTGATACCTCACGGTACTGACAATTATTTGGTATCACATATCAGACCAAATCCAGATCTTTATGGACCATTCTGGGTTTGCATTACTTTGATATTTACAATAGCCATAAATGGAAATCTGGTCAATTACTTTCAATCCGCTAGAACTGGCAATTATCACTGGAAATATGAATTTCACATTGTGTCATCTGCTGCCACGTGTATATTCCTTTATGCTTGGTTGTTTCCTTTGTTATTGTGGCTGGCACTCAAATGGTTCAAACCCCAAGAAGAGAATATCGATAATGAATTAATTGAGGTAAAATTCTGATCTTTAGAATCTCCAAGACAAATATTTTCAATACATTTATAAGAGTTGAAGTTTGCTTGTGTCTTATGTTTATTTTCTCTTTTATAGTCAAACACATCGATTGGACTTTTAGAAATCTTGTGTTTATATGGTTATTCACTGACCATTTACATTCCAGTAGCATTTTTATGGACGATACAGATAGGTTTATTACAATGGTCTTTGGTATTAGTTGCTACAATTTTGTCTGGGGGTGTTTTGTTAAGATCTATCCTACCAATGATCCCAGGTAACAATCAAGTCTTATTAAACTAACAAATTAATTATTGCTACTTAGTAGGATATACTTTTATTGATAAAAACTCTTCTTACAGGAAAACAGAAACCTATATACATGGCTGTCATACTTGGAATGCATTTATTACTTGCTGCTGGATTTATGCTGGTCTTTTTTCACGTCCCTGATTCACATCCAAATATAATGACCACTACTGTATCAACATCTACCACAACTACAGCAGCTTCTGTAAACATACATGCTAGTCCCAAATCAGCATAAATAAATTTTCAGCATATAAATGGCACACCTTAAAAAAGTTGACTATTTTGTAAATATGAAATCATTCCTAAATTGTTTTTACAACGCAATTGTGTAATTGATTATTTATTTTGCACACATGGAAAAATACGTGATGATTAAATGTAAGTTTATATGTAAGTTCGCAAATTATAAGTCTACTTTTCAATATTGGAATTAATTTCATATTAATACTTTGATAATCTATTGTATCATATATTGTATACATTTTTATTTGTATCTTTATTATAATAACGAAATTCACGAGTTGAGATTCTTTATGTTTATTCATTTCGCTTTCGGAAGAATTTGGATTGACAAGGTTATTAATGGTAATCCTGTATCCGGTAGAAATGGCAAGGAATGACTTAGCATAAGCCGAACAAGAGTTTATGCTAGCAAGAAAGATGAAGTTTGTTTAAGCGTGTTAATAAAAGGGTTGAAGCGTGCGCAATGCGAGAAACACAGACAAAAAGAAACTGCTTGTCAATGGAATAATTGAAACGTCACTTGACGATAGCTGGTCTCGTTGAGCTCTTGTCGTCCAGCTAAATATGATTACTTCGCTGTTAATTAGAATGTTTACCCGGTAATTTCGCGTGGCTGTTAACAGGTAATTTAATTTGAGCCGTGCAGCTTATTAGAGCTGACGCGGCGACGACGACGCCTACAGGGAATTTCCTTCCGCTCGCTCGGAGCGACGGCGATTTTCTGAAAGGCGATTTTCTTCTTTTATAGGCGTAGCTCTGCGCTAACTCTGTTTTCTCTTCTTTTTCATTCATTTGATCTTGCTTCGCTGTTGAGTCAAGGTAGGAAAAGACTTGCTAATAAGTTGACGATGATTGAAACAAGGGAACAAATCAGTCTTAGACGCCTGGTAAATTTCTGTTAATTGATTAATTCAAGTTTGTGGAGTCCGTTGTTCGCTTTAAAGTATATCGTAAACGTTTCCAGATTTTTACGATTTTTTATCAGGACCTGAGAATTTCAAATGTCTCTAATCGCCGCCTCTGACTTCTCGGATTTTTTTTAGATTTTAGAAACATTTTTCAAGGAGCGGAAAGCTTTTTGCAAAGCTTCCACAGATTCTAAGGCTTAGTTAGACGTTATAAAAGTTATAACCACTTGTTTCTGTGATATGTAGGAGTAATCAATGAGTTTTTTTCTTATTTACAAAAATTCCAGTAAAAGTGGTAAAATACGATTCTAAAGATTTTCAGGACTTTCGGTTGCATGTCACTTATTTTATCGAGCTCACTGGTCTTCAATACACAAGTAAAAAGAAAATTGATTATGAATTTTCAAGATTCTTGAAATTTGACGTTCGGCAGTCGTAGCAGTTTTCGCAAAGTCATCGAAAATGCTCATCAACTACTTTTAGAAAAGTAATAATTTACGCGAGTATCAGTAAGTACGAAAGCACATTTCAATTTGTTATTACGGCAGGCGAAATTAGTTAGGAAGAAGATCGCGAGTGTTCGGCGAAGAATCAAGTGATGAGTACGGCAGGAGGGCGGAAATTAACAGTTGATTTCCCTCTCTTCGAGACAGAAAGAGAGAGAGAGAGAGAGAAGAGAGAGGCGCCAGGACGCACGTACCTCTCTAAATGCATCTCGTAAGTCGCGTTGATGTATCTCTATACGGCGTGTATCCACTACTCTCGCTCGTTCGCATGCTAATAAATTTCTGAGAGCGCGCAGGTTGCCAGTCAGATTCAAGTGGTTTGTTTGCCAACGTCATCGTCACTTCTTCCATTGCATTTCCGTCGAAAAATCGACGACTCCGCCTCGAAAAGCGCTCCTGCGCGTTGTTTGCTTAGCACTGCAGTTTAAGTTGAAAAGAACGGAAAATTCTTTTAGTTTGCTCGGCGAAAAGAATAGCCGCTGCACAATGGGCAAAAAGGAGAAGGAGCGAGCGGGCGAGGGAGGCAGAAGAAAAAAAAAATAATAAAAGGAGAGAACGGCGTAGCGAAAGTGAGAAAAACAAGAGTTGCTCAGTTTCTTTGAAATTTTTCTCCTTGGAATTTCCGAGATTCCACGGCGGAAACGCTTCTTTTTTGCGTCGCAGCGGCCGGTGGAATTGTCGGAAGTAAATGATGTTGCTTGCGATGCGCTCGGCGCGAGAATTGGTTGGAAGTTTGGGAGCCATCGGCTCTCAATTCCGTCCAATATTTGGCACGCAAGATCGCGCTGGCAGCATTCCACACCGATCGCATCGCTGAGAAAGACACATCGGCCGAATCGGTTTTTAACGATTGCCAGTGCCGCACTTTCGTGCGAAATCGAAGCCTCGCGCGAGAAACTGACAAGGCAAAATTCCGATCGGATCGATTTCAGAGAAGATTAGTAGTAGAATAAGAAGCAGAAGCAGTAGCAGAAGAAGAAGCAGGAGAACTGAAAGCAGAAGCGTCGAGCGCCAGGAGCAACGGCAATCTCCGGCTCGGAGCTCATCGGCTGCTGGCTTGCGCTCGGTGCAGGTAGCGAGAGCGGAGAGAGAGAGAGAGAGAGAGAGAGAGAAAGAGCGAGAGGAGAGCGGGGCTGTCGTAGGTAGGTGGTTGAAAAGCGGCGCTCGGTGGTTCTCGCGCAGTCGCTGCAGAGACAGCCGGCTAGGCGATCCTCTCGCCCGCTCGACTCGATTCTCGCCGGCTGCCGCAGCGTACAGCGGAGCGCGCGCGCGCGATAGAGAGAGAGAGAGGGAGAGTGGGGCGGCCCACCGCGAGCTCTTTCATCCGTCAACTCGCACATGCAGTCCTGCAGACGACCGGGGAGCCTACAGCCCACCGGTAGGCAGCCTCCTCGCCAAGTGCAGAGCCGCGAGCGCGCAGTGCGCCCGAGCTTTCGGCCGCGCAGCCGCTGCCAGTGAGCTGCACCAGATTCGCCGCCGCGGAGTCGCGAGCACGTGGCTGTCGACGCGCCGAGACTCGATCCGCTCTCGGGCGGGCCGCGGGCCAGGCGGGGAGCAGGTGGTCGCGTGCATGGTCCGGCGCGCGCCGCGCCACACTTTTCGTTTTCCGTTGCCGCGGCGGTCAGCCGTGCCGAGATGCTGCTGTGGGGCCTGTGGCTGCTGGCGCTCGCGCGAGCCGCAGCGGCGGGCAGCTGCGCCGAGTTCAAGCTCTGCTGTCCGGGCCGCGACTCGGCCTGCGTCGTGCAGAAGACCTCGCCCAACGCCATTCTGCAGAGCTTGAGCGAGAAGCCTTGCTACTGCGACCACGCGTGCCTCAAGCTCGGCGACTGCTGCTCCGACTTCAAGGAGGCTTGCGGAGGTCAGTATGCGACTCGACGAGACTAATTATCAGCCTGCAGCGAGCACGATCCTCTTCTTTCCCACTTCAATTATCTTGCAGTTTATTAGCAACGCCGAGCGCCGGCTCGGCCCTCGGGGAAAGCTCGGCTGCCGCTCTCGCCAAGTTTACCGCCGGTTATTAAACTTGCAAGCTCCCGCTCTCACTCCCTCTCTTTCTCTCTCTCTCTCTCTCTCTCTCTCTCTCTCTTCCCCCAAGAATAAGCTTCTTACGAGTTGGACAGCTTTCTCGCTTCTCGTTTCTTTTCCGACGAAATTATTAATTGCCGGCAGCATTTAGATTTCATGAGCGAGCCTCGCGTTGCAATTGGACCGGGATATCGCGATCGCGTCGGCCTCGCCGCAGCTCTCCGGCTATTCCATTTACAACACGTTTTTGGGCTCGACGTGGTCGAAAATGTTCCGAGGGCCGACGGTTCGGCTGACCGCTGACAATTCCAATCGCAGGCCGGCATCGAACGAGCTCAACGGCTCGATGGCGCGCTCGCGAAATTGAAAAAGCCAGCCGGCAAAGGAAGAAGCCCCGATAGCCGCGGCACGCGTGCGAAAAATCAAGAGGACGCCCGTGTGCCGCGCTGCCGATCGATAATCCGCGTGCACCGAAAAACAAAGGGTTCGTCGGATCGAGTGGCCGTCCGCGGGCTCGCGAAGTACATTGGCCACGGTCCGCCGTACAAAAGCCATTTTCCTTGACAGATTCGATTTTTCGACGCGGCTCTCCCCTCTCCAGACTGCACAGTCGACAAGCTCCATGGATTCGTCCTGCTCTCGCCATCGCCGCTGCCCGAGCCGCACCTTGCGTGGCGTGGCTTTGCGCCCGTAATCACTCGACGGCGGGCTTTTCCTTCGCGCTCAAATGTTCATCGCGCGCCGCAGTAGCTGGAGCCGCGTCGGCCTGCATCGCGATCGATGTCGGCCCGCGACCGAGAGTACGGCGCCTGCACGGCTGCGGGGATCGCGTACGGCCGCTTTGCGCGCGCGCCTGACACGGGAATCGCGAATGAATCACTCGCACTCCTCGCGAATTGAATGGGCGGCCGAGCGATCCGGGAAATATGGCATTCGTGGCGCGAAGAGGCCCGGCGAGGCTGATTTGTGGCGCGCGTGCTGCCAAAGTGCCAGCCGCAGGCGCGTTCCACTACGGCGCACCTAATAACCCATTTTTGCGCCACTGCCACGCTCGATTATCGGTCGATCGTGCCTCGCCTCCACGCGAGCGACACCGGCGCGCGACAAGGCAGCTCGTCGTGCACGCGCGAAAGAAAGCGACGAGGCGACGCGTCGTTCCAAGGAGCCGAGGCGACCGAGGGGGACACGGCGAAGCCGCGTCGCGCGCACGTTCGACAATGGATGTGCGCGGCGACAGCGCGCCTAATTGCCTCCCAGAGCGCGCCTAATTAGGGCCGAGCGCGAGTCATCTATTCCGCTCGATTGGGCGTTTCATGAGGTGCGCGCGCGAATCCAAATTTCAGCCTGGCGGCAATACAGCAGTGCCGTCAATTTTTCATGCGTCCTCAATGCGTTTGTCGATCATCCTCGAATTCGCTCGAGAAACGACAATATTGACTCGAGAGTTCGTTTAATTTCCTCCGTCGACGCTCGCGTCGCTGCGCGCGGCGAGAGAGAGAGAGAGCGAGCCAGAATCGGCATCGCTACCCAATTATAATCCTTAAGTGAGCATCAATATTTATTCGATTAAGAACCGGCTCCTTCCCGTTCGTCTCGTGTTATTTTTAACCCGCGTAACGCTTTCCAAGATTAGCGCGAAAATTTGACGATTACTCCTAAGAAATCAGTATCGCGCGAAGCAAACGTAAACGAAAATAAAAGAGAACGCGAAGGAGGAGGGGTAAAGAGGAGGAAAACCAGACGGGCCGAGTTGACCGCGCTTAACACACGGAAGGACGCGCGAGCGAGCGTCGGATGCCACTTCGTGCGCTCCATCTCGGTGACTACATTTGGCTTTCTCTCTTGACTCGGCGCGGAACCGCTGCAGTGGCGGCAAAGCTTTCCTCCTCGCGAAAGCCTTCAGTAAACAATAAGCGCCGGTTTGGAAGGGGCAAGGGGGCCGTTGACCCTAGATATACGTGCTTTCCTCTCTGTCAATTGTGCCCTGCCGCTGCTTTTTGCCCGGCCGCTTCTGGGTCGGAAAGCTGTAACGCGCTCACTCCGCAGCCTAGTTTTTTTTTCGTTTTTTTTTTTCTTCTTTACACGGCTTATTACTTTTTATACGGGAACAAACGCCACTATTGTCCCTCTCAAGGCCGCTCGTTGGTTTTTCCCTTTTCGCTCTCCCCGTCGGGCGAATGATGCAGCCACCGCGCTCGCTCGTTTACGCGTAAACCTTGCAAACCAAGTAGGTTGCTTTTGCTACCGTGGCACTCGCGGCGCGCGCCTTTACCGCGGCTATTGTTTTTTTAAACGAACAGCTCCGCTTTTTCCCGTCGCGTAGAACGGCCACTTTGCGACGCGCCTCAAGCGCTCGGACGGCGCAACGAGGCTGCCGCGCGGTAAAGAGGGCACGGGTCGTCAATTCGGTGCGCGGGCAAACTTGGCAGCGCGAGACGCGTCACGAGGAGCGCGGCGATCACTCGGGGCGACGAGGCACAAGGCGGAGTCGGCTTCCCACGCTCGCGGCGGAAAAGCATTTACGGCCGCGAGTGAATCTGGGCCGGCGGCGGCGCAACGGGAACGTCTTATTCCGCGACACGGGGGCTCGCGGAGCGCATTAGCGCCCGGCGCTCTCGCTCTCGCGAGCGCGTAGCCATGACTACCGCGGTCCGCGCGCCGGCTCGCGCACCTCTCGCGAGAGACTGGCGTAAATCAAAGGCGCACGTACAGAGCGATACGTGCTCTCAGCGATTTCAAAGGCCGAGCCGCGCCTCGCCCAGCAGTTATCGTAAATTTCCGAACTATCTCGAGGAGCTAACTCGCCGCCGTCGTTGCCGCCGGGCTTCGCCGATGCGTATGCACGCCGCTACCGCCGCGAGAGAGCTGGGGCGCCGAAAGCCTGATGGATTTACGTGGCTCGCGGGCCTCCTTTCTTCTTCTTCTTCTGCTTCTTTATTCTCATACTTCTTCCTCCTTGTCTCGGCCGAGTTTTCAGCATTCGCACCTACTCGCTCCATTCCAAATATCCACTTCGTTCCTCAGAATTTACGTCTTATCTACTCGTCGATTTTACAAACCGACGACGTCTTACCCGATTGATGCACTCGCAGTGATCGCGTTTCTGGTGGATCCTCTATCCGCGCATTCCTATTACGTCTGCTCGCGAAACGAAGCCCAAATCAGCTCATTTGCGAAAAAAAAAATAGGATTGTCTACGTAGGCAGATTCAAGAGCAAATGGCTGTTGAGATTTTTCAGCGCACGCACACACTCGCGCGTTCTTCGGTGGCAGCAGCGAGATCGCCGCTGGAGCAGGGCCGAGCCCGGCTCGACGTCTGCAGCTCTATTCTCGGAATTCGCGCACACGCGGTCCCTTTATTAAAATAGCTTCGGAGCGACGTACGGCGGGCGCTCATTGTTCTCCGCCTCTCGATACTATCTCGTTCCTCGTCCTTACCTCGCTGGCTCCTTCGCGGGCTCGCGATTTCTTCCGTTCGCCTCGTCTCGTCTCCTCCCGCGGTATTCAGTACCGTGCCAAGAAAAATATTGATTCAGTGAAAATACTGCTCGCGGACCATCTCGCTCGCTCTCCGTTCGTTTTCCTTTGCCCCCTCCCGACACTCGATGCCGTTCTAAAGCAAATGACAGCGCGTCGGACATATTCCCCGGCAACAGGCACCGCACTATTTGTCTTGTTTTTCGGCCGAGCGACACGTCGAGCGCGCGAGCCACATTTCGACGATTCACGGCAGCTCGTTCTCTCGCGGTAATGCTCCGTTGATTCACGAGCTTGGCGCGCATTTAACACTGGCATTTGTCAAACGAGCCATAGAAATCGCACGCGGGACGAGAGAGCGTTGCAGCCGGGGGGGGGGGGGGGGAGAAATAACCTCATCACTGCGCGTCTGCTTCCGATGGCTCGTCGTAGTACCTTAGCCAACTAGAGCGCGCGAGCTGCGGTGTTTCTCGAAAAGAGGTGTGCCAGAGCGCCCGTTCGTACGCCGGCTTTCCGAGGGCCGTTTCGAAAGAGTCATCCTCGACGGACCGATCGGCTGGCACGCGCGCGAACGAGGGATCGCGATTGGAGAGCGCCGAGAGAAAAGGCAAACAAGACGCGCGAAATCTCGCATTAGGCTAACGAGGGCGGCGCGCATTTTGGCTAGTGCGCTAGAGAGAGAGAGATTTTCCGAGCCTGCAAGGGGCTAATGGCGCGTCTCGCGCATTCATTTTGCCGACAGCCGTCTCGCCCTCGTTCGCGGCTCATCCAGCGGCGTCGCGTCGGGCTCACAGGCCTTGCCTCACGCCAAGTGCCGAGCGTTCGCTATAGAGCGGCTGCGGGCGGCGAGCTCGCCTAACAATGCGCTAAAACTTGCACGGAGATCATTAACAAAAGTGCCGCTGCGCGTCGAACAAGCCGAGCGCCTCGCGTCTCCTTGCCAGAGCTTTCCGATGCGATCGCCCGTCGCGGCGGCCAACTTCGTCCACCGCGATGTCGTCGACGACCGCAGCGCGGCTCGACCCTCATTTTTCGTAGGCGGGCCCCCCGCTCGCGTGCACAGAACTCGGGCGCGCCTAATATTTCGCTCGGCTGGCATTTGCATAACCGGCCCGTTCGTGCGCGCGACGCCCGACGAACAGGCCCATTTCACTTGCTAACGAAAGCGCAACAGTCGCCGAGGCGAAGAATTCGATCGCAAAAAATTTACATTAACCGAAAGTTCGGCTCGCGCTCGCTTCCCGTCCCTTCGGCCTCGAGCACGATCTTATCGGCGCGACTGGCAAACAGTCTCTTTTAATAGCGCGAACAATCGTCGTTATGAAACTGGAATTTTTCATCACGCCGAAACTGTGT